AGTAAAGAACTTCATGGGAAGATTGGGATTTAAGTGGAGTTGAAAACCTGAACGGTGGTTTTTCGGAAAACAGACTCCAGTCTGATGAGCAGGCAGTAAGAATAAAAGTTGCAATACTAATCACATATATAAAAATTCACTAGGGAGTCATAGCAGTAATAGTATTTTTAGTGGCATTTCATGTGCCTTAGGGTATCTTGCCCAGCCCTGAGCGGCAACACCAGGGGACACAGGTCTCCGGTTTGTCTGTAATCCACTAGTCCTGCGAGGATCTTGGGTACATTTGGGCACCTAACATGTCATAAGACATCAACGTTTAGGCACCTGAATTGCTCCCTTAACATCTGATTCAAGACTACTTGAAAGTATAAAAATACATGTACAAAAAATGTGTATGAAATTTTTCACTGGGTAGCGCTCTACTCAGGCGATCACTTGAAGGATAGTTCAAAGGAATGGTGATCCTAATGCAATGTAAGAATACCGAAGAAACTACAGTAGAATTAATTCCCAGATCAACTAAATACATCCTAGATGACCTTGGAAAAAAATTGCAATCTTTCTGCGCCTCAGCTCCCAGCCTTTGAAATGGTGACAGTAACTACTTTTCTACCCATCTTTATTCAGGGTCTGTGAATTCTTGGGGTCTGTCACACATATTGTCTAGTATAACAGTTTCACCTGTGAGCAGTATTTCTAGATCTCTTTAACACAAATAATATTACTACCAGAAGCAGCTTTTCAGAGAAAAATATTCTGAGCAAAATCTTCAATAGTCATACCTTTCTTATTGAGTGGTCGTTTTCGTACACAAACACATATCCTGTGCTCATCAATCTGCAAAGGAAACAATCTTTCTGTGAACTATACCCAAACTCCAGTTATATCGTATTCTACTTTATTTTACTTCTATTCTTGAATTAATTAACGAATCATTTAAACAAAGAGAAATTTCCGAGACAATGAGTCATCTGAACATGTAAAAGCCCCTTATGTCTGCAAAATATCCAAGAAGCCAAAAAGGAGAACCATACATTAACAAAACTCTATGAAGAGAGATCTAATCCTCTAGAGTACCAGGTTCATCTTGGAATATTACAAGCAAATCCAGCTCTAACTAACAGGGTAGATATGCTATTGACAGAAATTGTCACAAACTCTGATTTCCACAGAGATCTGATAATCTTCATCATTTAAGGATTCTGCTCCTCTGATTTGTCTGCAAACCAAAGGGCCTCAACATCTTCAAAGTTCAAATATTAATCTTTATACTCAACAGGGTTTTTCAGAGAAGCTTAATGGTTTTGTCTGCACATCCCCTAGCATCCCAGGAAAATTTACAATACAGAGGCTGAGTCACTACTTAGTACATTGGTTTTACTTTATTGTAAAAAGTTATTTAAAAGCCACAACGTAATTAACAATAATTTAGTAACCTAGGACTTTTGCTACCTACTAATTTCAATATCATCAAATTACTGAAAAAAAATAAATGCACGTTGTAATGAATACTAACATATATTAAACTCTTATTTTTCATGTTTACAGACAGAAGTATACATTGAAAAAACTGAAAACACATAGCAAAAATACAGGATAAAAAATTTCCATGTTGCTGGGGTACTTACAGGATCTGCAGCTGTCAATGGTCTATAATCCAAACTTCCCCTGAAATCTCTTATCATACACATAATTTCATAATTTGGGTTTGTAGCATCAACATCCTAGGGAAGTAAGCAACAGTATTTCTAATACATTTTTTTTCCTGAAAGAGACTAACTTCAGTATCTTCTATATTTATTTGTAAGAAAAGTACACATTAACTGAAATCTTATTTTTTCTCCAAAACGCCAGAAATGTCTCAAATGCAAGTTTAATGCCTTTTTCCATTCTGATGTAGCTAATCTACTGATCATAAAGCAAAACAATTCTATGCTTTCTACGTCATGTTTTTGGTTGGCATATAATAGAAAATACTTTTTAATTGAGGACTCATTAAACAGTCTACTCAAGAGCGATGACTCCTGCTTCTGCCAGAATCTTCACACACCTCTGAAACGGTGTGATGAGAAAGAAAGAAAGAAACACCTCTGAATGACTGCACACCACCAGATAGCATATCAAGTCAATGCTTCTTAATCTGGTGAGGCGGTCCAATGAACAAATGGATAGACTCCATTACACAGGTACAACTCACACCGCAGAGGACAATGCAGGCACCTCAGCTGCTCTAAACACAACCCTGCTGGATCCAAGTCGTTTAAAGGAGTTTGATCCTACTGCTGGTCCTGAGTTAACTCCTACAGTTACTTGGATGCACAAGAAACTCTTCTAACACCCCTAGACCTCGCCAAATAGCAGAAGCAATCCTAAGGATACACAGTAGGCTACATCCAGACTCAGAAGACCTCCTGTCCCTAAACCTGGAGCCGTCAGTACCAGAGCGAACAGACATGCAAGTTTCGAGTTTTGCATGGCTCCCCCACAAATTATATAAAACTTCTAGATCACAGCTGGTTGTGGAAACAGTGTAGGCACTCTCAGAAGGCACTGCATTGGGGTTATCAAGCTGAAAGGGAGCCAGCTCACGTCCCTGCACCTGTGACACAGCCAATCCTCACCTCAGATAAAACTGTGTCCTGGTAATCAGAAGCTGACTGTACCCTGATGCTATTCACCCTGACTACAGTGAACTAAAAACTGCTGACAGTAAGTCCACACAAAATGTACTCCCGCTGAAACATTTCCTTCTAACATTCAGAAAGGAGTTTTGCTTATTATGGAAAAAGTGTTTGCCTAATTTTCTTCAAATCTTATTTAAAGGTCTTGCCGACTAGAAGACAGTGCTTGGTTAATTATTGCTGCATTTCACAACAACAAAAGAATACACAGAGCAACATGAAGCACAGGTACATACAGGTCACCAAGACAAAGAGAGCTTCCTCATACAGAAGATTAAGACTCAGATGCAAAAGGAGTCTTCACAGAAGCGCTAAAAAGAAAATTTTAGGTGCAGTACCATGTCTACGTATTTTAATACATAAAGCCAAAAAATGTTTCTTCCTCACACATAAAGACATAGCAACGTTTTGCATTTGTGTAGATGGACAGAAATTAGAGAACATGAATCCACCATAGGTGATTTTAGGTCAACTTAGAAACATCACTAAACCACCAAATAAACTGCCTGAATTATTTACTTGGTGGTGGTACCTCTCATGTCAGTAGCGGATTGGTAGTATCTCTTTAGAGACTAACACATACGCACAGGGCTGCCAACAAGATTACACTACTAGTTTTGCTAAAGCTTTTACACCACCGTGACAGAAAGTCATCTAATATTAAGAGATTTTTCTCACAGGATTAGCAATTCCATTTCTTTCACACAAGTTTATAACAATGTGCTGCCAAGCTGCTTGCATGATGCAAAGCTAAATTATAAACACATAGATTGGTTTAGAGAAAAAAAAAAGTCACTGTTCAAACTTGAGCCTCAAATAGATCTCCTGCAAAGCATCAAAGATCATAAAGAGCAATTTATCATAATGTTATAATATATCCTGTAGAAGGACCTATCTAGAAGCCAAAGGTTTGATTATTTTCAACAATATATTTTTCCTAAGAAATAGCTATCATCAGTACTTGATCTTTAAAGAACAAGCTGCAAGATAAGCAATTCTAAGCAATTATTTCTGTAGGAAGAGAAAGGGGGTAAAGTGTCAAAAGCAATAGTTACGAGCGCAATGCACCCAAGCACCAAAATATTTATCAGACTTGTATACAGGATGAAAACATTTAATTTCAAGATTATTACAGTTCATAAATATTATTAAAGACTGAAAAATGCACAATGATTTTGCAAACTTCTTCTCTTGCTGATGTAGGTTTTCCATCCAAGCTAAAAATACTAACCTGAGCTCTTTTTTCTCTAAGTTCCTGCTGCTGTAACCTTCTTTTTTCACGTTTCTCTTGCAATTTTTCAACCTCTTTTACACAATTAGATTTTCTACGTGCTTAAAGAAAATGATATAATTTTAAAATATATTCAGTGTTGCATGAATTTAGTATTTACACTGTACATTTCAACTATATTAGTTTATCGATAATTAGAATGCATTTATATCAACTATTTTTCAAGCAATCAGTATTAGTACAGTATAAAAATGGCAATTTAATTTCTAAAATTCATAAAATAAATGAATCAGAAAAAAGTCATGGGTATGGGACAATAATTACACAACCAAAAATACAAGGACAGTGACCCTCAAAAAATATTTGGACAGATACATGTGATCTCTTGGTTTGAATGAAAAGAAAGTCCAGGCAAATTAAAAAAAAAAAAAAAACACCAAACATCGCTGCCATGGTTAAAAAAAGATAAAGGAAAAACAAATTCCAAATACTATCACAACTATGACAAAAATGAACATTTGTTTAGCCACAGCTCTCTGAAAAAGCTCGTTGAGCAAGCCCACAGACAACTGCGCATGTAGACCACTTGTCATTTATGGACAACAACATAATCCAAGAGAATGTACATGTAACGCCCAGAACGAATGAATCCTTGATACACGGTTTACATACAAGGGGGTCCAAATTCCTTTTTTGCAGCTTGAACTGGAGATATATCTGAAACACTACCATTCTGTTGAGAGGAGGAAGACTGCTCGGGAAGCTGAGTAGGTCGCGCGCGCGCAGAACCAACCACTGCAAAGAAAAGCACAAAGCTCATCTGGACATGGAAAAGTAACATTCTTACCCGATTTTGAAATGCTTTCTTATGATGAGATAAAATGAGACCCCTTTCCAGACACAACAACTTATTGGCAGAGAGGAGGAGCCAAATATGTAGAAAGTATATTAATAAGACATTTGATATGCAGTCTTTTTTATCCTAGTATTATACACCAACACAACGTAATTATTAGGTATCAAGGCTGCACATGCATATTTTTAAATTACTGCTGAATTAGTGCAACTTATTATGTGCTTAGAATGAAGTGTGTACTTGGAGATATGCAGTTATGAAGCTTAAAGTGCTGAAATTTTATTTATATTGTGATTATACTCAAAAAATGAGTACGAAAAGAAACTCCACTGTTTCACATTCTCTAGGTATTACAAAACGGTCCCACCCCATTGAGCCTACAATATCTGGAGGAGCAACAGGATACAAATCAAAGGCAGCGCAGTTTAGCTCAATCTGTGAGTGGAAGAAGCAAACCTTTTTAACTCTATACTGGAAGGGGAGATACAGATACAATCAATATATCTAAACTTATGCATTAATTCTATACATGCTAAGGATGCCAATTTCTAAAGATAGAGTGATATCTGTTCCCAGTGAACACAGTGGGAGTGGTAAGCATGCAAGCTTCTTCGGTAGAACTGAATGCTTTCAGTTGTTTTTCAGCCAGCTTCAGCTGGCCCCTTTCCTGCACACAGTCCTTACAGAATCTGCCAGAAGAGTATGAAAGTGAAGGTATCAGCTTTGATTAGCAGCCAGAGACGACACACCAAATGAAAGCCAGCTCACTGTGCAACATGGAGACAACTATGGAAAGAGATATCGAACTGGACAGACAAGACAAATTATAGAATCATAGAATCATTATG